ATAATTTCTAAATTTTTCGAAAATTTAGTAAAATCCAGCTATATTCAATATATATAAATATAAATAATATAATAATAATATATAAATGATATATAATAATAATATAAATAATTTTATATAAATGACAAATTTTTTTTTAGTTTATTGAATTAAAAATTTTATTATATTTTTATCACATATAAAATAAAAAAACGTTGAATTATGTGCATATGAATTTTAATCATTTTACACAATTTTTAGAAAAAAATCATCTTAATGTTTATATATGATTTTAAATGAATTTAAATGATTATAAATGTTCATTTAATATTATAATATATATAATAAAGAAGTGAATAGTTATGTAAGTAAAAAAAAAATAAATATGTATACAAATTTATTTCAATTTAATATAAATATTTAAAGTGAAATAATTATAAATGATCATTAAAATTCTCATTAATATATATGAAACTATTATGTAGAAAAATGTAGGCAATTCCAAAATTTAATAACAATTTGAATGAATAATCAAAGATAAATATATTTTATTAATATATAAAATATATAATAATATTAATATTATTTTTTTTAATTAAATATATAATATTCATAATATTCAAATTGTTTCTACTTCACCAGTAATGGCAATAGCTTCAATTTCAAGTTGTGCTGCCTATAATAATATTTTGCATTTAATTTTAATATTTAAGATTTTAAAATATGTACATATATAAAACATATTTACTTCATACCATTGGTAATTTTCCAACTTGAAATGTAGATCTAGCTGGATAATTTTCTTTGAAAACTAAAAAAAAAAAAAAAGTGTATGTAAATTTGTTTATAAATAAATTAATAACATAAAAATTAATATATTTATATGTATATATGTAAATCTCACATTCTTTGTAAACTTCATTTACATCAGTGAAATCATTAATATCTTGTAAGAAAATTGTTGTTTTAATAACTGTAAGTAAACATAAAAAATTAACTATTATCATTATTTGAAATATTTAATCTATATCTATGTATAAATATAATATAAAACATGATATATAACTTTTTTAATTAGTTCATAATTAAAGAAAAAATTGAAAAATGAATTTTCAAATGAATATATAACCTTTATTGTAATTAGATCCAGCTTCCTTTAAAATATGTCCCATATTTAGAAGAGCTTGACGAGTTTCTGCAACAGTACCTCCACTAACAAGTTTTTCAGTTTTAACATCAATACCAAGAATTCCAGACAAATACAAAGTATGATTTACAAGTATAGCTTGGCTATTAAAAGATTATTTATAGTAATTAAATGTTTATATACAATTTAATTAAATTTTTGTTTCATTACATTAAAAAAATTTAATGTTTAATCTAAGATGAAAAATAATGAAAAATAATTATTGCTTACTTATATGGCCCAACAGGTTTTGGACATAATGGGGATGATATTATTTTTCTTATAGTTTTTTGTGATGCCATTATTTTAGTTTGAATACATTTATTAGTTGATTGAAACTGTTTCACTACGTATTCCTTATTATGAATATTTTATATTGATAAACTTTTGACCTTTTACTAAGAGAAATATCTTATCTTGTATTCAATTCTTTTTTATATATAATTTTTACAAAGATTTTTATATATAATATACATAAAATAGAAAAAATAATACATAAAAATTTAAATATATTTTCATGTTTATTATATTTATGTTTTATATATAAAATTTACATATAGAGAATTCAGAAGCCAATATAAATTTATTGATATGAAATTAAGATTATATAAGATTTTTATAAATTAATTATAAAAAATTCACAATGATATAAAAAAAGATTTTTATTATAAACTAATATAATATAATATAAAAAAAGAATTACTTAAAGAAAAAAAAAAGAAAATTATGATTTCTTAAAAAAAAGAAAAAAAAAGAAAAAAAAATCAAAATTGAATGAAAAAATTGTAACTTACATCAAATGCTTTAAAATACTCAATAAATTAATATATATCTGTATCTGTCAGTTTCAATATTATATCAAGATTCATTTGATTTAGACTTTGAGATTGATGCTCATGTTTTTTTAATTTAGATAAATTTGAATAAAATAAGTGATAATATGGTAATAATAAATCAAATATATATCTTTTTTTAATATTTTTCTTTATTCTGGATAGTGAAATTTTATGCAACATTTAATAAATTGAAAAACCTTTCTTTTATTGTTAGTTTTATATTTATTTCATAAAATAAAAATATTTTGTAAATAGAAAATAAAATATGATTAATTTTTAAAAAACCTCAGCCATTTTATATTGAACTAGTTTACCTTAATGTTTTGTAATTTTTCTATTACAAATATGATTTTATAATTTTTTAAAAATTAAAACCAAATCGATCTAATTGAATCATGAATCATAAATAAATTTTTTCTCTTTTTGTTTTTGATTTGATAATATTAAAAGTATTATTTGGCAGATAATTCAGCAAAAAATTTGTGATCAATAAAAATAGTAATTAATATTAATTTTATAATTCTATAATTCTAGATTTTGTATTAATTTTAATAGATAAACTTAATTTACTATTTCTGTTTTAAGCTGTATAATAATTTGAATGTAATAATATAGGCATGAGTTGACTATATTGATTGTCCTTTGAATAATTTTGTTTAATAATCAATATTTTGCTAAATATATCACTATTTATAATTTGCATATGAAAATAATGATTTAATTTGTTTATCAACTAAAAGTTGTTTTAACAATAAAATTTTTAAATTATATAATTTATTTTCAAAGGAAGTTGAACTTACACTGATTGATTTCTGAAGTCTCCATACAATATATTTAAAAGAAAGTTGATCCTTTATTATTTATTATAAAAATAAATTTCAAATAAATATCAAATTGTAATAAGTTTTCAAAATAAATTTTTAAAATAATTGATTTAAGTATTATTACACGAATTTGTGTATATATGCTCTTCATTAAATTTATAATAAATTTATTATTTTAATTAATTAATTTATTATTATTTTAATCTTTTTGAAAATAAAATAACAAAATTAAAATAATTAAAAATTTAATCACTTCTTAATTATTGATAAAAATTATTAAAAGTTAATAAAGTTAATAAAATATATAATATTAGACATAATTTCAAAAATGTTTTTTTAATAAGATATTAAATAAATAATTTTATAATTTTTAATATATTTTATAAATTATTGTTATCAATTTATTGTTTAATTTTAAATATATTTAGAAAAATCCATTGAAAATTATATTAATAAAAATGAGATTATGAAGAGAAAATATAATAGAAAACATTCATATAATCTCATTTTTGTTAATAAAATTAATTATAGAATATAATTTCTTTTTAATATAAAAATTAATTTATCTTTATATTAGAATATCATTAAAAAGTTTATTTTGATTTAAGTTTAGAATTTTATCAAATAAAAAACAATTTTATAAGATTATTATTTATCATAAATAAAATTATTTAATAAAACTAAATTAAAAAATGAAGATATAAACAAAAGTACATTTTTTTTAATATTATTATTAATCGATACACACGTCATCCTTATTTCTAAATGTCTTGATGAATATAAAATATTACATATAAAGTAATCAAATGAAAAACGAATATTTTGTAGATTAACTTTTACTTGATAAACTGATGAAAATGAGGTTTTTACAGCGCAATCATATCTTTTATTATAATATATATATTTATATAATGTGTGTATGTGTGTATTTTATATATATATATATATATATATATATATATATATACACATAACACACACACACATACACAAATACAAATACGCTTCCATGCGTACTTTTTATATGAATGCATGTATGTTTGTATAGATCGTTTACACACTTCTCGCACTCTTTTCTAAGCACAACAAATATTATAGTACATTTTATTAATGATGTTAATATCTATGATGATCGAGATGATGATTTGTAATAGGCTTACGAAATTTCAATGAGTAGTGTTATTACGCCGCCCGCGTCTTTTTCGATTTCCACCAGAAGGACGGTTTGAAGAGGCCCATTGTTCGTAAAAACGTTCTGCTTCTAACCATTCTTGATATTTATACCACCATTCTTCCCATTTTATATAATCATCTAAAGTAAGATCTCGAAGATATCCTCTTGCTTTATAGTAATCATATCTAACGCGAACATCATCCCAACATTCTAGACCTCTTGGTCCTTGTGCTAAAAGTGACTCAGGATAATGTCCTGGTGGCGGAGAATCATATCCTAGTCTTGCAATTCTTTCTTCACCCTCTATTACAACTTTCATTGCATTTTCTCCATCTTTTGTGATGCGCATATTTTCCATATCTCTGCGATCTACACTCCATTGTGCCATTTTACCAAATCTAAAACAGTTTTATATTATTATATAATTTTATATTTTTATATTAATTTAAAATATAATTATTATCAAATTATTATTTCAAATTTAATTAAGATTTTAATTATTTTTTAATTATTTAATTAAGATTTTAGTTTTAAAATCTATTTTATATTTTTATAAAATTATTGATTAAATTATACCGTTCAGATAGTGTCATTCTAGGTGGACCCACGTGTGATGTTGTAGAGGAACTATCACTATCTTCACTAGGTGAGGATTCAGGAGGAGGCCTAATCATTTGAGTTGATCCATGACTTGAATGAGTTTTTTCTACCTTTACAGGTTTACGCATCTGTACAAGTTTCATAGTTATAATATAGAAAGAAAGTATAGAAAAAATATGTAATAAAAAATAATTAAAAAATTAGACTAGAAATATATATGCTATTTCAAAATCAAATTAATTAACTTTGAACAAAATATGTTTTACCAATGGAATGGAGTCTGGAACTCTTGGATCTTCTGGAATTCTAGTATGATGTTTTTCTTTACGGCGGACCTTGGTTTCTTTTTCTTTAATTATTTTATAGTCTTTTTGATGACGTGGTGGAGGCTGTGGCGTAGGCGGTGGTGTACATGGACGTGGTAAAGGAGGTGATCGTGGTCTAGTTCGAGTTGGTATTACTCGTGAGCTTGATGGTATTACTTCTTTTTGATGTGCTCGGGCTCGAACTGGTGTCAGTGATCTTGAACGCGAACGAGAAGGTTGAGCAATGCGTCGTCGTTCTTTTGGTGAACAAACACTACATGAACGATCAGAACAAGTACTTCCTGTACTTGGACTACGTGTAGGTCTTCCTCTTGTATGTGATTTATCACGTGGTGATCGTGGACTTCTAGTTCGAGGACTACGTGGTCTTTGGATGTGAGGGCTTCGTGGTCTTGGACTTCTTGGACTTCTTGGATGTCCTCTGCTAGGTTCTCCACTTGTTGTGCCACCAACATATAATTCCTTATATCCACTATGTCTCCATCTATTTGGATCTCGTTCCTCTACCTCCAAAAGTTTTTTATTCCAATAACTTGATTGAGATTCACGAGCTTTCCGCATTACACTATCTAATTCTCTTCGTTTTCCTGAATTTTCACCATGTGGTCTGGGTTGTGATATATTGGTATCCATCCGCAATTTACTAGAACTGGTACCACTACCGCTACCTCCTCTTCGTCTATCATAGTCTCGAGACATTCCTGTCATATAAAATATGTATGAAATATTAATGATCTATAAAATTACATATTTTCTTTCTTTTATTTTTGACACAATTATTCAAAATATAAACAATTATTAATTTTAAAATTAAAAATAAATATTTACATATGAATAAATTTTTTAAAGTTTCTATTTATACTAATACATACCTGACAGAAATCTTAGAATAAAAGATATAGGAGGAGCGAAAAGCTGATGATCCAAACTCCTGCGAGAGCAGTGAACACGTTAATTTTCAATACATGATAGAATGCCCATAAAGATGATAATACGTTGGATTAAGAGCCATGAGAGATCGCTAGAAGAACCAGTACCATTCGTCCTTTGGATCAACTGGCCTACGTCAAAAATTCTACATGTCACAAATGAGTATCATCTGCAGTGGTCAAGCAGTGGAAAAGTTAGTATTCCCGATCAAAAACATTTTCTTTCAGAATTTAAATTCGCGAAATCCATATGTGGTACTGGACATCACCCGTCGCGAGACCTTACCATCGCCACTCTCCGCATGTCCAGAATTGTAGTACGCTTCGATCCACGATCCATAAATGTTGGTCGCGTGGACTTTCAATGAGTCGAACCAAATTCAGAGATCGCCTTCGAAAGGCGTCGCGCGCGCGTTAACCGAACTTAATCGTGTCCAAGTTTTCGTATTTTTTACCGAACCGAATGCGGATAGGGTGAAGTTTATCTCGGGCATTACCCGGGTAATGCCATGACGGCGGCACTCACGTAGCCGGTTACGATACACGATAAGATTACTCAATGTTATGTCGATGGTACACACAAGTAAAAAAATATAACGAACGTTGCGGTAAAGCTTTTTGGCATTTTTTTGACATCATTAAGGATGTCATTCGAACATCACCTTTCCGGTACGCATCGAAGAATATTTCGCCGCGTACTCAT